GACTCTTTGTGAAGATGAATGCCCGTAATATGTCTGTAAAAGCTATAGATTCCCTTTCAGTGGAATCAACTCCATCCTCAAATGCTTTACCAAAAATGCTGGCGAGACCATTGGCACGGTAACGAAGAACTCAAGACTTTTTAGTTGGTTTGACGCCCAGCTTCACCACTTAGAAGTTTTACCACCTTGGGCAGGGGATTCACCTCTCTAAGCCACAGCTAGCGGTACTTCAGAATAAGAATAAAAATAGTATCTGCTTCTTAGGCTTTTGTGAGGATTAAATGAGATAATATATCTAAGAGCCTAGCCCAGTATCTGGCAAATAGTAACATTAGAACAAGATTAACCTGAGAACAAAAAAGGAGAAAAAGGCAGCAGAGAAAGTGGCAAAAGGACAGTGAATATTTGACAAAGTGCTTTTGTTAAAAACAGAATTGACTTGGTGGGAGAGGCATGTTGCTTTCAGAGGATTAATACAAGATGAAACTAAGTGCTTCATGGTCATTAGAATTATAGTGCCTGAGAGGCCGGGGAGGGGGGTGCCCTTCATCAGTTTGGATTGATTTAAACTTTAAAAAATGATGGAAATTTGAGATCAGGTAGACTCAACATTCATACTTAGTCTTTGGTATAAGAAAAGGTGTGTGTGTGCGTGTGTGTGTGTGTGTGTGTGTGTGTGTAAGAGAAACAGGTGAGAGAGAGAGAGAAGGGTCAGGGTGGGAAGGGCAGAATTCATCAAGGACAGTGAGCTGCTTTTCCACTGCCGTCACTGAAGCCTCTCAAGGTATTTCAGAGGAGGTAGATGATCATGGACCATATTTATTCTTTGTTGCCAGGGAGAGCTTTGTTTTCAGAGCTCTGCTTTGTCTATGGAATTAGATCTACGGTTATAATAATTTCACCTTGGGATGTCCCAAGACACAAACACGGACATGAATATTAGCTCCACATTCTCCCAAAAGAAGGCCTGTGTGTTTTGTTTTCATAGTAATTCTTAGCAGATTTCATCATAGAAAATACTGAGCCTCACTCACAGAACCCAACAGAGCCCGACAGTTTGCTGGGGTTGCAGGAGAAGAGATCGCACAGCAGCCTGTGGACACAGAGAGTCCTTGAGACTCACATTCAACCCCACAGCACAGTAAGATTGGGAGCCTCAGAAAAATTTAGTCTGGTTCCCAGACTCTTTCCTCACTGGCAGCTTTACTTGGCTGCGTTACCTGGTAAATCGTTTAATACTCCATCTTTCCTATGTAAAATACCCAAAGGCCTAAAAATCTTAGGAGCTATTTGCTTAATTCAACAACGATTGTCTCTCATCGTTTTTCAACTGATTGTGTGAGACCCAGATTTGATCTAACTGTTGGGAAGATACAATTGATCAGTTCTTTGATCACAAACTATTATTGCTATTTACTATCTTTTCAAGACCAGATGGGTTTCTTATCTAATTTTCAATTTTAAATTGCATAAGAAATTCAAATTCTACCACCTGCCTTTTTGTAATCTCTGTGTGTGGATTGAATGGATGAAATTAAGCCTAAGGTTATTTGCTGAGCATTCACTCTGGCACTCTGTGTAATACTCAAAAAAAGCAAGGTACGGTCCTTCCTTTCAAGGAGCTTATAATCTAGTGGAAGGAGAAATGAGCTCAGAGCCATATGCACAGCTACTTGTTTTACTTAACATTAGGGAATTATTCAAAGGCAGTGGGAACACAGAAAAAGGACTAGTGTTCCCATTCATCTAGGAGCACCTTAGAAGGATTTATAGAACTAATTCCATTTGAACTTGGACTTGAGAGATAAGCAGGATTTTGAGTGGTAGTAATGGTCAGGGGTGGTGGGAACGGCAGAGGCACGACCTCTAAGGTAAAAAGGTAGAGAGCACACTTGAACAGAGGATTGTATGAGAGTTTCTGTAGGCATAGGGCACCCACAGCCCCGACCAAGCAGGAAGGAGGCGATGATGGAAGATGGACAAGGTACTGTAGAGAATTTGCACAGCGGGGCAGTATGGAAGGATTCTGAGTTGCGGAGCCATAGAATTAGATCCATTTCTAGGACAATAACCAGGAAAATAAAGTGAAGGATGAAATGAAAGAGCTGGAGGAGACAGGAAGCAGGAAGGCCATCCAAGAGGCTGATGGAAGCCCAAAGAAGCAGAGCATCAATGGAAGAGAAAAGGAGGGATGGATGGAAGCCCAAAGAAGCAGAGCATCAATGGAAGAGAAAAGGAGGGATGGAAACAAGCTGGTTTCTACATGTTGTCTTCTCAATTTTCAGTCTTGGGTTTTCTTATGATCCTAGCTGATATCTCTCTCCCCTTATCTCCGTATCTATCTATCTATCTATGTATCATCTATCTATGTATCTGATTTTTTTTTACTTAGTTCTCCTTTCCTTTCTTTAGATAATGGAATGGAAAGAAAGAAACAACCCCTTCCATCTTGACCTCTACATAACTTACAGAACATAATCACCTTAGACCACAGAAAAGGTTCCCATGTGTCACAACTGTCGCAATAGCTAAGAGGGCTCTGAATAATTATAAGAGGACAGTCATAGACGTTACATGATTAAACCTGGTTTTATACATCCTTACTCCCAGTCCTGCCTCAACTTCCCTGTCCCAGCAGAATATTCCTTGTTTTCCCTGTAGATAACTTGATATCACATTTGATCAGCGATTGGCTGACTGAGGAAACATCTGTGCTCTTTTGGTTTAGTTTTCCTGTGTTTACAGTGATATAGCAAACGTTTGCATCTTTTTTGTTTGTTTTTGTTTTGTTTTGTTTTCAATATATTAAAAAGCAACATAGTACAAATGTTGTAGTTAATATTGAAAAGGATCCAAATTTTTCAAGGAATGAATTTTTATAAACAAGTTCTACAATGAAAGGGAAACAGCATATTGATACATAAAAGTTTTGTTAAACAAGGTTTAAAATTTTTTTTTTTTAGAAGATGTTGTAACAAGCTGGTTTCTACATGTTGTCTTCTCAATTTTCAGTCTTGGGTTTTCTTATGATCCTAGCTGATATCTCTCTCCCCTTATCTCCGTATCTATCTATCTATCTATGTATCATCTATCTATGTATCTGATTTTTTTTTACTTAGTTCTCCTTTCCTTTCTTTAGATAATGGAATGGAAAGAAAGAAACAACCCCTTCCATCTTGACCTCTACATAACTTACAGAACATAATCACCTTAGACCACAGAAAAGGTTCCCATGTGTCACAACTGTCGCAATAGCTAAGAGGGCTCTGAATAATTATAAGAGGACAGTCATAGACGTTACATGATTAAACCTGGTTTTATACATCCTTACTCCCAGTCCTGCCTCAACTTCCCTGTCCCAGCAGAATATTCCTTGTTTTCCCTGTAGATAACTTGATATCACATTTGATCAGCGATTGGCTGACTGAGGAAACATCTGTGCTCTTTTGGTTTAGTTTTCCTGTGTTTACAGTGATATAGCAAACGTTTGCATCTTTTTTGTTTGTTTTTGTTTTGTTTTGTTTTCAATATATTAAAAAGCAACATAGTACAAATGTTGTAGTTAATATTGAAAAGGATCCAAATTTTTCAAGGAATGAATTTTTATAAACAAGTTCTACAATGAAAGGGAAACAGCATATTGATACATAAAAGTTTTGTTAAACAAGGTTTAAAATTTTTTTTTTTTAGAAGATGTTGGGGGTAGGAGTTTCATAATTAATTTATTTATTTTTGCTGTGTTGGGTCTTCATTTCTGTGCGAGGGCTTTCTCTAGTTGTGGCAAGCGGGGGCCACTGTTCATCGCGGTGCACGGGCCTCTCGCTATCGCGGCCTCTCTTGTTGCAGAGCACAGGCTCCTGACGCGCAGGCTCAGTAGTTGTGGCTCACGGGCCTAGTTGCTCCGCGGCATGTGGGATCTTCCCAGACCAGGGCTTGAACCTGTGTCCCCTGCACTGGCAGGTGGATTCTTAACCACTGCGCCACCAGGGAAGCCCCAAGACTTTAAAATGTTTAAATCAAAGTGTTTTAGACTAAATTCTTTCAAATGTTCAAACAAAAACAAAAAAAAAACCCTGTACAATCTCCATAATAAAATGTGTCCTTGCACTTTGAAAATGTTAAAATTTTAGAAATTTGAGTGATGGAGGCAGCACTTAAAGCTTTCGTGAACCTTTTTTTCCCAAAAAAAGAATACTTTCAGTAAAACATTTTACTATTTTATCTCACTATGCATTTACATTTTTGTTCTTCCAGAAAAAGATTTACATTAACACTGTATTCTTACTGTAAAAAAAATACATTTCGAGATATTTAACTTCCTGAGTGACTTCAGTCATACATCGAACATGATTTAATGAGCAAATTCTAAAATTTTATAAAGAAATAGCGTGTGCAGATGTATACTTGTATGCTCACTTACAGTAAAACCAAGATCATGTCATAGAACTTACACTTAAGTTCTCTAAGAAGTTAAATAATATGATTAATCCCCAAACTTGACCAAAAGGTTTTCTCAGATGTTAGTAAATTGAATTACTGAATTTACATTTTCTCATTTATTAACAAAATACTGAGTCATTTCAGACTATCAACTTGAATGTTTTCCATTATATACACCAAAAATCTGATTCCCTAACAAGAAATTTCTTGCAATACAAAAAGATAACAGATAATTAAAATATTTGCTTCATAATACAAGTAATCCATAAAATACACCCCTTCCTCAATTGTCTAAAATGATTAGGAATTGTGGCACTTTCTTTAGCATAAAACCCTTTCCTCTTCTTAAAACTCTGAGGTGAAAGGTTATTTATGTAATAAAACTAGAACCACAATTCTTCTCATTTCTGTATTGGACTGCAATTAGGTTTTAAAAATTTTATAAAGAAATGTGGCAACTTGTAAAGCTGCTCTATAGAGTCTTTTTAAGAAAACATTCCCAGAAACAACTTAACAAAAGGGCCTAGAATGACCCTATGAAAACATCCTTCTAACACTTCTTAGTGTCGAGATGAGCGCCAATTTCCATCGCTACCACTGTCTCTTCTGTTATCATAGTCATGGCTCTGGCCATGAAGTGATTTCTCTCTTCATAGAAGAAATCATCTCTGCTTCCTCTGTAATGATGGTCGGACCCATGATCAGTGTAATGCTGTTCACGGCTATGTCTATCCACTACGTAAGGATGAGAATTCTGTCTGACTTTTTGCTGTGATAATGGTGTATCTTGGCCCCACTGGGAGGCTGAAGACTGGTTAAAAGTGTGATTATGTGACTGAACTGACTGATCCAGATGTGGAGAACCAAATTTCCCTCCATAGGACATCTGTCTCAAAGCACTGTTCATCACTGCTTGTCTCTGAAAATTTTCTGAAGAAGAAAAAGATCTTTGAATTATAGGTGTTGATGGAGTCATGTTATCCACTGTCCTTTCGTACCTGCTAGGAGATGTGGAAGTAGGGCTTGAACTTCCAACATGATGCTGGGAATATGACAAACTGACCTCCTGTGAGGCATGGCTACTTCCTGATCTAAACTGAAGTTTGATGGGCCTTCCAAAAAGTTTGATTCCGTTAAGCAGATTCATGGCATAAGGAACAGATAGTTCACGTTTGAAATTCGCAAACGCAAACTGCTTTGGTTTACCATCCTTATCTTTTGGAATTTTCACTTTTATTACTGGCCCAGCCTGTTGGATGCCGGGACGGACCGTCCCGCTTGTCCCAGGAAAGCAGGGATGGCCATTGGGCCGGGCCCTACCCGGGCCGGAAAACGAAAGGGAAAGCACGTTTGCATCTTTCATTGGTCCTGTACCTTTATACTTTTGTCCAATTGATTACATGTTAACTAATTGCTCCTTAGTGATGTTTAAAAATAAAATCTTCCAGCAGTTGACTAACAGACCCTGCTAACCAAGCGTTAAGATAATCCAAAAGATACCTTGAAGGGATCCTAATGGATTGTGTGTGGGTTTCACGGGATGAGTATGAATACGTTTTAGAGAAAAGGAAAATGGTGCCTTATGACATTGTTTGTTGCCCCAGAGCCTGATGAATTACGCTCGAGCCCCATTCTCTCCTTCAGAGACAAGGCATTTCACTTGCAGACATATCTTTTTTTTCGCTTGCACTTCTTTATTTCATTCTCCCCAAGGGATCTCAGGCAAGTGCACAGTTAGGCAACAAAGACTAGCGGGAAAACGTCATCTAGGTGGGGTGTATTGGTTTCCATGGTTCCTGAGAAGTTAAAGTGAAGGAAGGAAGCGAAACTTGGGCACTGAAAGCAAATCTTCTATTCTTTCCTCCTTTCAATGCATAAACCCGTACAGAATCCCTCTGGGCAAGGGAGACAGAGCTCACTTAGTGATTCATTTAGATTCTGCATGAGAAGGAGATATTATTTTAGTCTTCATTATAAGAGGGGCCATTTCTTCAAACTGACCGTTTTTCCCTCTAACTCTTTTCCAAAGTAGCCTGTTTACAATCTACTCTTGTAGATTACAGTACTCAGTAGAGACAAGTAGGGAGACATTCAGACCTTGAAAAGCTTCAAGACATCCCACAGAGTTGGAATGCTTTTCTCAAAGGGAAAACAATTCTGCAAATGTGTATGTACTTGCCTATGTGCCCGAAAGAGCCAGCTGGACAGACCATAAACAGCTCCCATTCAGGAACAACAAAAGCCCATGTCAGAAGTCAAGGGACAGGGGGCTGAGAACTAATAATAATTTTGCACTTACACAGCAGTTTTCATCTGAAGACCTCAGAGTGCTTTATAAACATTAATTAAATTGCCCCACAGCCCTGCGAGATGGCTGTGTATCACTGTTTCCAATTTGCAGGGGGTGGAGGGAGGAGAAATGTGTGCCTGGAGTGAAGTTGGAACCAGGCCATGCTACAGTGCACGTGGATTGCGGACTCAGAAAAAGCAGTGGGACCTTTCCTCTGTGAATTTAAGGCTATGGTCACGTCTCATGGTACCTGCTTGACCAAGAAGGAGATGGTCTGGCAACAGGGCTGTCCAGGGCGACCCCTCAGCAGGACCCACCTCCTGCATAAGGCAGCCACCTGCACTGGGCTTGAGGGGCTCCGGCACGATCTCCCCGACAAACTCATTGCCATTATTACAGACGCATCCCTTCAGTGGGACTCATGAGGGCAAGTCAGGCCCACCTGAAATGCTGGCTCTGCTTGCTTGGAGGTGTAGTCAGGACAGCTGATTGGAGAAGGATCGTGATGGGTACTCAGCAGAAAATCCTATGATTGATTATTATCTGCCTTGCCTTTGGGAAAAAGTAGGTGTGGGTTGAATTGTGTCCCCTGAAAAGATACCTTTTTTTAACAAAACTAATTTTATTGAAGTATAGTTGATTTACGATGTTGTGTTAATTTCTACTGTACAGCAAAAGTGATTCAGTTATATATATATATATATATATATATTCTTTTTCAGATTCTTTTCCATTATGGTTTATCACAGGATATTGAATATAGTTCCCTGTCTACACAGTAGGACCTTGTTGTTTATCCATCCTACATATACTAGTTTGCATCTGCTCATCCCAAACTCCCACTCCATCCCCCCCCCCCCCCACTCCCTTGGCAATCACAAGTCTGTTCTCTATGTCTGTGAGTCTGTTTCTGTTTTGTAAATAAGTTCATTTGTGTCATATTTTAGATTCCACATATAAGTGATATGATATGCTGTTTGTCTTTCTCTTTCTGACTCACTTCACTTAGTATGATCATCTCTAGGTCCATCCCTGTTGCTGCAAATGGCATCCTTTCATTCTCCCTGAAAAGATGTCTGGAAGTCCTAACCCTGGTACCCATGCATGTGACTTCATTTGGAAATCGGATCTTTGTAGATGTAACAAGTTAAGATGAGGTCACACTGGATTAGAGTGGGCCCTGGCTCTGAAGGCTGTGTCTCTGAGACAAGGGCAATCTGGATGCAGCCACAGAAAAGCGTGGCGTGTGAGGATAGAGGCGGTGATGGGCGTGATGTGCGTACAAGCCAAATGACCAGGATTGCTGGCGGCCACCAAAGCTAGAAGAGGCAAGGAAGGAGTCCTTCCTAGAGCCTTGGCAGGGAGCGCAGCCCTGCTGACACCTTGACTTCGAACTTTTGGCCTCTAGAATTATGAGAGAATAAATTTTGTTGTTTTAGGCCACCCGTTTGAGGTGCTTTGTTACAACAGCCTTAGGAAATTAATACAATAGTCTAAATATTGGAAGTTGCAAATGCAGGATCATTAAAATGGTCGTTTATTTAAAGACACATCCCACCATTGTAATAAGCGAAGGAAAGTTTTCTGGAGAGATTGGGCTGTGACAAAGGAGATGAGGACAGGGTGAGCACATCGTAATGATGGTGACAGTGACATCACTTAGTCCTCTGGCCTGGCACCCGCTGATGGTTCTTAGCCACTTAGATGTTTTGGCGTGTCAGTCCTGTTGGAACATGTTGAATTATAATTGTGAAAATTCATTTAACGCATCCCATTTCTTCATCCCTGTAATGACATAGAATGAAAAACAAGGAAGGCAATTTGAAGCCCGATCAAGGATAGCAAAAGGCAAAAATAACCTACAAATAAGAAAAAGGAAAAATAAGATCCAAACACTGGGAAAATTAATCTGTCATGGGTGAAGTTGCAGACATTTGGGGCAAGAGATCATCTGTTGTATTCGTCTTTTGTCTTGCCCTTTGCAGGCTCCCTTTAAAAAATACAAACAGTCCTGGGATGGGCAACACATATAAAACAATACAGTCATGTCAGGCTTTGGAGTCAGACAGATGTGAATGGAAATCCAGGCTCTGTCATTTACTATCTCTACGGTATTAGGGAAGTCACTTGACCTCTCAGTGCCTTAATTTACTCATCTGCTAAGTGGGTGTAATGATATTCTCAAACGTTTGTTGTCAGAATTAAATGAGTTAATATCTGTTTCAAAGCCTGCTCTATAGTATGTACAGTATTATCAGTAGCATTTGCTTCTGCTCAATAAATAGCTTTCCTTCCCGTGGAGAGTGGTTAAGGTGGGATAGGCAAGCTGGAGACGGGGCAGAGGGAGAGGCTGGGGGAGATGACCCAGTTGAAAGATCCTGCATAACCGAGTCTGCCATTGGACTGTGGTTTGAGGAGAAGTTGCTTCCTTCTCCCTGTAGCCTCAGGGTGGCCCTGCCCCCAAGATTCTCCTTTCCTCCTTGGCTAGGGTCCCTCAGAGCTGGGGGAGTGACAGAGTGCCCACAGTACACTGCTGTGGGCAATGGAGCTGCTTCCTTGTCTGCCTTTGCTCTCTGAGCAGGGCCCACATCCAGGGAACTGGAGCTGGGGAACCCCTGGAGGTGGCTCCAGCTGTCAGCGGAGTCCTTTCCTCAGGCTGGGATCCAAGAAGTGCCAAGAAAGGAAGCAGAAGTTGTTCCTATCAGACTGGGCCGAGAAGTCAACAACCTCACCTTCTTTGATAGTGATCTTTGAGCCCCAGTTAAATGGGTCAACTCCTATTTACCCAAAAAGAAACAACCTTGCCAAACGGTTCATCATCATCTTTTTTTTTGTTTTTTGTTTTTTTTAACAAATGTGAACAAGTTTTGAGTGTAACTTCTTATTTCCCCAGGCTCCACACAACCAAAGGCATGAGTGACAGCCTTGATCAAAATATAAATATTTTAACGTTGAGTTCCCCCACCAGATATGGCTGATAATAAACACAGACCCAGACCCTGTGGGTCCTGAGTGGCCCACCATTGCGCTTGGCCACCATCATGTTTTCCTCTTGGGATGGCCATGCCGCTCTCACTCTGCCACCTGGTGGACTGGTTCTGCAACTGCATTTCCCATGCCTGTGGCTTAGGTCTCAGGAGACTGTTGCTTTGTTGCTGTTCCTGTGGCTGTTGGGCCCATGAACAGGGGAAAGGCCTCTCTCGTCAATAAAATCTCCCTAAATAAGAAGTTAGCTAATTGCAGTTTCTTTCAGTTCCTAGAATTGGGGCACTTTCTACCTCCCAATGTTGCATTCAGAAATATCTTGCCCCCCTACCATTAGCCAAAACCCCTAGCCAGGCCCAGGCACTTGTCAATGACTCTCTCCCTTGACCAAACTTTAATCAACCTCCTGGAAGCCCTCGACTGGACTAGGCATGACCTTGGGCTTCCTTCTCCGTCCTTGTAGAAACCAGTTTGAGCAAGAATCCTATAAAGCCATTTTAGTGAAAACTCCCCACGTTTGGTGTCTGACTACCCTTGATATCACGCTGGTATCAGCAAGAATTCTGTCGAGTCATTCTCACAAGAATTCCCATACCCAGGCTTCCCTGGTGGCACAGTGGTTGGGGGTCTGCCTGCCGATGCAGGGGACACGGGTTCGTGTCCCGGTCCGGGAGGATCCCACGTGCCGCGGAGCAGCTAGGCCCATGAGCCATGGCCGCTGAGCCTGTGCGTCAGGAGCCTGTGCTCCGCAACGGGAGAGGCCACAACAGTGAGAGGCCCGCGTACCGCAAAAAAAAAAAAAAAAAAAAAAGAATTCCCGTAGCCACGATGTCTCTCCTTAGAGTTTTCCATCTACTGACCCTCACTCTGCTCCTTCACTACAAATCCCCACTGTCCTTGTTAGAGTCAGAGTTAAGCCTGGTCTCTGTCCCCTACCACAACCCCCCACTGTAGTAGCCTTACCGTCGCTAGCAAGTGTCAGAAATCATTTTTTCGTTGACACATTTCAGCTGTCACTGCAGGAGGCATCCCTGTCCTCCTGGGCATCCCAGGCTGGAGCAGACTTTTTTTCCTCTCTGAGACTCTTCATCCCAGAAAGGTCCTGCCTGACCCATCAGATTTAAAGTCTCCCAATAATCTCTCCCAGGAGGACTACTGAGGTTGGCAGTCATATATCTTAGATTTGGGAGGGCATTCATAATTTCAAATCACCTTTCTCGCAGCCAACAAATAAGTCCTGAATTTCTGGTTTAAATAAAAATTTTCTGTGTTTTCTGCTTTGGCTCTAGGTCTCCCTCCTGATCACCCCAGCTGGTGTCAGCGTCACCTGCCTCGGGCTCATATTGTCCCTTTCAAATGTCCAGCCTTCTCCTTCAGCCTCAGAGCCTGCGTCTCTGTCTCCACCTTCCCCGCGACTTAGCTCAGGATCACAGCCAACTGACTGGCTGTGGCCGGCTAGGCTTGCTTTCTCAGGTCCTCGGGACTAGACAGGAGACCAGGAGAAGAGGAGAGGAAGGGATGTGCCTTCGTTCTCTCTCTCCTCCCTGCCTCCCTGCCTATAGCATCAGGCTGCTGGGCAGGTGATGCACTGATCTGGCTATTTTTTCCTCCTGAAAATCCAACCCCATTATCCCTGATACCAAATCCTTGGTAAAGAGAGGGCCAGGCTGAGCCTCGAACATGAAGACAGGAAGTGAAGGTAGCCCTGAGATTCTGGGCATAAGAAAGCCCCAGTTAAGAGACGGAGAGAAAAGAGATCGTATGTGGCGCCTCTCTGCTGGGAACGGGGACCGGACATGCATGAGGAGCCTGAGATCTGCGCCAGGCATTTTCCATCCATTAGCTTTTCCCACGTTATAGATTAGATAACTGAACCTCAGAGAGGTTAAATAGTGTCCCCAGATACCGTAGCTCAGGAGTGGAGCCAGGATTCGGACTTGGGTCTGCAGATTTATTTGACTTCTATGCTCCAGCTCTTTCCACCAAACCCTATTCCTCCCATGGGGCGGAAATGTGTACGCTCCTAGGGACAGGGATGCAGTCCTCCCACATCTTCTATAGGAGAAGCCTGGCTGCCTTCGGTCAACCACCCCTCTGTGCCTTGGATCTTGTTACCATTCATGCCGTTTCTAATAACACATTCGTAATAATCTCTGAGGTGACAGAAATGGTCCCAGTCCTCAGACTGGGGAAGGGCTCAGCCCTGGAAGGGCTCAGGGCTGCCATGACCACTGGCACAGCCTCCAGGCTCAGCCGGTACCTGCTGTGGACCTCGGATGCCTGGAATCAGATCCCCAGGCTGGGCAAGGGACGAGCAAAATGGCAACCAGGCCTGGGAGGGTCCCCTGAGATGGAGCCATGAGCTATGGCCCTTTGGTAAGGCCGATCTGTGCAGCAAGCCCCTGGGAAGTAGAAAACCCAGCCTGACAAGTGACCTTGACAGAATTACAGCAGTAATATTTTCAGTCGGTTGAGCTAGTCTTGGCCAATTTCTCTAGAGCATTAGGCGCAAACGTAAGTCTGCTTCTCCACATTGCACACGCCTGTGCCGGCCTCTCCCCCTCCGCCGTTTAAAGTATTTATCCTGTGGCTTGTACAAGCCACGTCTTTCTCTTCCCCAGTGAGAGTGAGAGTCTCCAGGCTTCCTTGCCCGCCGCTGGATGTGCAGCGAAGCAGTGAGGACAAGAATCTTGTTCCAAGCCCATCAGGCCGGGCTAGCATCGGATGACCTCCTGCACCAGCCAGCCTGTCTTTTGGGGATTGAAATTGATTTTCCTCCATTCTGTGTGTGAGCACAACCCAAGGTACAGCTCTGTTACCAACACCCATCTCAGGTGTGCATTTACAGGTGAACAGTGATACTCTTAAAAAGATAAATGCGGGCTTCCCTGCTGGCGCAGTGGTTGAGAGTCCGCCTGCCAATGTGGGGGACGCGGGTTCGTGCCCCGGTCCGGGAGGATCCCGCGTGTCGCGGAGCGGCTGGGCCCGTGAGCCGTGGCCGCTGGGCCTGTGCATCCGGAGCCTGTGCTCCGCGACGGGGGAGGCTGCAGCAGTGAGAGGCCTGCGTACCGTAAAAAAAAAAAAAAAAGTAAAAAAAAAAGATAAATGGGAAAAGTTCTTTAAGAATGCCCTGTGTCACCTCTGCAGGTGAGCAGGATGTCTGCTTACATTTCCAAAGAGTAGCTTTTAATTTCGGCATGCCGCTGTGTGTGTGTGTGTGTGTGTGTGTGTGTGTGTCTGTACAGGGCTGGGGGTGAGAGGTTTCTGAAGCTGTGAGAGAAAATGTGTAAAACTCCAAATTCTTGTCCACATGGCCAGCCTGAGATCAAGGCATGCAAGGTGCTTGCCTCTGGTGCAAGATTTAAGGAGGTGACCAAAAAGTCAGTACTCAAAATGTGTTAATGTCATACATTTTAAAAAATCAAAATGAATGCAAAAAATCCACTGTGAGCAACATATCAAAATTTTAAATAAACAAATAGTTGACATTACTGGTTTTTCCCTTTGTTTCAGATTCCAATATGACTCGATGTGGCACTTTAAAAACTTTTGATGTGGTGTTCATCATGGATTTTTTAACATTAATTTTAATTTTTTAACTATTGCATGAAGATATTATTTATCTTGATTACTGAGTTTTTCCTGGTGTCCCTTTAAGTTTTGCAAACCAGGGGAATTGCCTCTCCCTGGTCTCAGCCCCCTTCAGCCATGGCCCGAATCAGAGGCAGGGCTGTTTTTGAGAATAGCTGAAGATGCTAGCTGGCATTTATATTCAGCCTCCAAATTGAAAATGAGTTGTTGAACTCTTCCTCTAGATGGTAACTGTCTGAGCCCAGAATGGCATTTGGATTTCGTCATTGACTTGGTCATAGCTAAAGTTATCCTGAGTGCCAAGCAGGAGTAAAGGAGGATTGGCTCTCTTCGGGGTAGCATCAATTCTGTATATACCCTGGGTGCTCTGAGAACTGTCCAGGCCACAGGAGGACACAACGAGGCCTTGGCGGCTGCTCAAGTTTAATTTTTATGCCCAGTCCTTGCTGATTATATTTGTAGAGGAGCCTCAACCTCCTCTCCCAAGCTGCCCAGTTCATTGCTCAGCTGGGCTCTCAGAGCCCTTCTCCCCACCCCCCGGCCCCCGACATCATCATCCCTGGTGTCCCCAGTAGCCACAGTCTGTGTGGGTATCACTTCAGTAGCTGCCTTTTAAAGATACGGCCCGGTGCTTCTGGAAAAGCTAGCTATTTCATAATTGTAAAATCGACCTCTATTCCACAGCTCTACTACACACTGGTGTATTTCCTGGCAAATCCATCTAACCCCAAATTAAATGACATTTCCTGGCAAGAGATGGACCAGTGGTTGAAAATATCATAGCAACAGCTCCGTTCAACTTGCAGTATTCCTTTACATTCAATATCTCAGGTCTTTCCTGGGTCTATTAACTGGCAAGTTTAAGGGGCAACATTGTGGGCTTGGAGTCTTGCCATTTGGAATAAGAGGCCAGCGAGAGGCTGCCTGACTCTGGTTTTCAGTGTTACTTTTTCCAGTGTATTCTTTCCCATCTCAAACCTGCCCCTCCTCCTCCTGTATGCTTTCTTTCAGGAGTCGACATCAGTGCCTATACCCAAACACACAGGCCCAGTTTTACCTCCTTAACCTTTCAGATCCCATCCTGCTGCCAGAAGGATCCTGTTAGAATGTTGATGTGATCATGTCATTTTATTGTTTAGAACCCTCTGCAACAACCCCTCCTAGCCTAGAAGGTAAGGTTCAAGGTTCCTGTTTTGGCTCTGCCCACCTCACTGGGCTCATGGCTCACTGTTCTTCCCACCCGAACACTTGCAACCCTGGCTCAACCCCTGGGCCTTTGCACACACCATCCCTCTTGTCACACTCCAGCTTCCTGTCTTAGGGTAACTGTATGGCTGCCAACATTCTCGGAATGAGAGGCCAGGTGGCAGTGGGGTCTTAGGGTCCTGCATGTGGACTTTCACTTATAGCCCTGATGTCAGTAGGGTACCAGCCCCCTGTCCTCCCACATACCTGATGGTCTTGATTCTAGAGCCTCTCATGTACATTTCACTCCCACATAAGACCCCTGTACCTCCTAGTAGTTGGGGATGGGGACCAATTGCCTGGCTGGACCAGCTAATGCAGTAGCCTGGGAGATCTTGCCTCTTTCACGACTGGAAACAATCAGTCCTCTTGTTTTCACTTTCCTGTCTTCCTCCCATCTTCAAGGACACTCAGAGCCTCAACCGCGGGAATCTTTCTAGGGTTCTAGAGAGCAGATCGTTATTTATCGTTGATATCCCTTTTCGGAGGCACTTAAGTTATGGCTTTCTCAGACTGGCTAACATCCTTGGTCTGACTTCATTTTACTTATCTGTAAAATGATAAAAATATGTTATCTCACTTTCAATTCCATTAAAGGAGTTGAATGAGCTAATCTCTCAGGTGACTTCTGAGACAGGACTATCTTAGATTTGTGGGCATGTCGGATTTCTCTTTCTTTCCTAGCTGACTGTGGTTGGAGGGAAATCAGACACATCGGCTCCAGGAGAATCTGGCAAATTAACATACATTTGTTTTTAAGTTAAAGCTTGTGCAATACCTTTTTTTTTTTTTTTTTAATGATTCCCCATCTTAGTAGAGTTTTTGATTACTTGACAATGATATTGTGGATAGTACGTTGGATAAGAGAGTTTGTGAAAGGAAGCAACCAGGGTTTCATGCTCAGGAGGAACCGAAGGGCCTAGAGAGGCGTGAGTGACATCACCCCAGGCAGAGGGAGTAACCTGTGTCCCCTCTGTGACTTGGCAGGTGACGGTGTAAGGTTCAGGAATAGATGTTATCGGACCAATTAAATAGAGCCCTTAAAAAAGACCCAGTTTTCATTGTGCTTTCCAAGAGTGGGCCGTGATTTTGATTTAGGTACCCACAAGCCACAGAAGTCTGAGATGCATTACGACTCAAAGTATGTAACTGTTGCAGGGTGTGCAGGGGGTGGCCCTGGATTGCTGCCCTGGGAGTCACATGCGGTCACTGCTGGCAACAGCCCGTCACCCGGGCACTGCTTTCCTGGCAAGCGTGGACCAGGGTGTAGGGCTGCCATGATTCTGGAAGGGAAAAGGAGCAGATGTGCCCCTCCGCTGACTCCTCGGCCTGCCTTGGGACGCATTTGCACGTTGCATGGGGGCTCTGATACCCCAAGGCGTACGGTTGTCTTTGGTTAATTGTTATGACCATGTGTGAGAAGAATTCTGGGTGCAATTGCCAAGTCTTTCATTGGGGCCAGAAATGGAAAAATCTTTCAAACAGAAAATGAAGTTTGGTCTGGCATTCTGATGGATCGTTAGCTAGCCTGAAAATGTACACTTGGCTTTGCTGGTAGGCTGGAGGAGAGGCATAGTAACTTTGCAGGGTTTAGACATGCTGCCCGTGGAGACCAGCGTCCTGTCCCATGGGCCCCACAGAGCCCTGGGACTGGTTCTGCTTCAGACCAGACGCTCCTGCCTCATCTCCTTACCGTTGGGGGGAGGGTGGGCACTCCGCAGGGTCTCGCTTACCTGGCATGGGCATTTGGCTGTCACACTTGGTCTTTTCCATCTTGGTGCCCCCTGAGGCTGCGCTGGCTCCATCTAAGTGCTGCCCCCCAAGTGACTTGGCCTCACTTCTGCCTCTGCCTCCCCTGCACGGTCTACACCTGGAAGTTCAGAGTGGACACTGCTGTCATTTCTTCTTATGTCTGAGTCCCTTCTTGACAAGCTGGTGACCCTGGAGGATTTTGTCTGATTTTGTTTTGTTTTTTGGTTACATGGCTCCCACACGCATAGTTTACCCAACTTCTGACGTGACTAGATTTCATCCCATGTGGAAAGAAATGTAGCAATCTTTGGACATTCACAGCTGGGTTTGGAAGCAAGTTGATATCACTGATGACGTGTGGATCACACAAATTTATGTGACAAGCTTGTCTGGCCAGCCATACCATCGAGGCCACAAACCCCAGTCCTTTCCAAACTGTAACCAAAACTTATCTGTATCTCAAAGTATCATGGACTCGAATGAGGGCTGATGCCAGAATGAGTTACGAGTTGACTCTATGTGAGGGGGGAAGAGGGGTGGGAACAGGGAAGACCAGAGGGTGAGATATGGGGGCCTGGTGGATAGAGGAGGTGCGGGCTGACAGCTTGAGTGATGAAAAGGGGGAGTTCTAAGGAAACAAAATAGACTATTCAAAAATTGATCTCTGGGACTTGATGTTGGCATAGCTTATAGGGGAAGTGGAAAAGGACAGGGGCGGGATGTGCCCTTAGGGTCCTTCTGTGGAGTGTGAACGCTGACAGCACTCGTCACTTCCTTTAAGACTTGACTCTGAGCCTCAGTTCCTGCTGCTGTTGACACCATGAAGACTAAATTGTCAACCGTCATGGATGCGCACTGGAACTTTTTTTTCTTTTTCTTTTGCGGTACGCGGGCCTCTCACTGCTGTGGCCTCTCCCGTTGCGGAGCACAGGCTCCGGACGCGCAGGCTCAGCGGCCATGGCCCATGGGCCCAGCCGCTCCGCGGCATGTGGGATCTTCCCGGACCGGGGCACGAACCCATGTCCCCTGCATCGGCAGACGGACTCTCAACCACTGCGCCACCAGGGAAGCCCCGCACTGGAACTTTTAAGAGTCTATTTCAAAGTATGGAGTACAGCAGAACTGTCCAGGGGTCACTGAGCTCCCCACGGTAACTGGAGGTCAGATGTTAGAACTGGGCTGGTGCAGGAGGAAGGGGGTCATTTGCCTGTGGACCAGTGTGAATAGAGCCTGGGTGAGTAATATAAGAGAAAATACTTTAGGAGGAAATCCAAGTGAAAGCCAAGCAGGCCATCCTCAGGGGCAGAGTATGTTGTATTTTCTGTACCTTTCAGACTGTGGCCTCGGAAACCCATAGACAGTACACTGCCAAGAGGAAGCCTTAATTAAACTGCGGACTTCGGGTACTTATGATGTGTCGATGGAGGATCATGGGTTGTAACACATGGACCATTCTGGTGGGCGATGTTGGTAACAGGGGCTGTGTACATGCAGGTTTATGGGAAATATCTGTACCTTCCCTCAATTTTGCTGACAGCCTATAAGTGTTCTAAAGAGGTAAAGTCTTAATACAAATTTAAAGTAAAAATGTGTCTTAGCAAGCAGACCCTAGATGTTGATCCCACCTGACCAATAAAGAACAGACCACCACCACCCTTGGACCTGGGCATTTAAACCTTTATGAATACAAAGTAGTTCTTTCTTTCTTTCTTTCTTTTTTCTTTTAAAAGAATCAATGTATACGGTGGCTCAGTTTGGTTTGAGGTTATTTGAAGCTGTATGTGAACATGTAGTAAGGCCCCTTCTTCCAGATGTTTTAGTTGTGTATTTGATTTTAATAATTCTAAACACAATATTTTATATTCATTCCTACCATATCGAATTGTCTTTGATTTGGCCTATTTTTCCAGCTTGCCAAGATCTTTTTGAGACTGAGGTCTGTTTTCCAATATGTTATATGTTATCCTCAGCTTTCTGGAATTTGATATTCATGTTTGCTATGTTTTTATTGACAAAAAGTGTTGAAAGATAAGGTGAGGAACAATTTCTCTAGAATTCTGTCGGTGATCCCTTTCCAGCTTAATGTATCAATCCATTAATCCAATCTTTCTGGGTAATTTTAATCAGTTTGCTATTGATCACCTAAGTCAATATGCCAGATACAGAGTCTATTCCCCTTTAATGGATAGTGGCCATGCTGCCTGGACCATGCCCTTAGCATCCTTCCTGTCTAGACCACATCACTTCTAAGGAAAACTCCTTTATTTAACCTCCTACCTAAGCAGCCTTGTTTTCTACCCTGTGGTCATTGCCCCTTGCTGGCTCATCCTGACTCAAGAGCAGCAATCCTGTCACCTTTGGCCTCATGCAAAAAGCTGGACCAATCATATTCTCTAATTGTAAAATCTGAACTAAGGAAAATGAAAGGAATTTTATACTTTCAATAAACCTAGCAGTGAAGAAAAATAGCCTGAGGTTGAGTTGGGGCTGAGGAAAGCCAAAACTTGCCTCTCTCTGGAGAGAGAGGTGATGACAAGGATTGGAAGCTTCTTCTGTATCTTAGATCATTCTGAGAACTTTAGGAAAGCTATGGACTCTCTCCCCTGAGAAATATATAAATTAACGTATATGCAGCATTTTGCTTACAGTTTCAAGATGTTTATAGACCTTTTCAATCTTGGACTAGTTAATCCTAGAAAAGAAAGGTAATAAATCTGGTAGGTATTGAGGCATTGAGGAGGATGTGTAATAAAAAATAGGGGTGGAGAGAGACAGAGACCCCCCCCCCAGACCTGCCTCACTTCCTGAGGTCTCCAGGTCTGATTTCCAGTCCACCTGACCTTTCCAATAAACTCCAATTTTCTTGAGATTAATTGAGTGAGTCTCTGTTTCTGCAACTAAAAGTGCTTTACTTAAACAATCAGGTTATCATCCACCCAGTCATGCAAGCTATAAACCCTAGAGTCGCATCTCTAACTCCAGACATCCCTTTCCAAGGGCTTCATGCTTCACCTTTCTTACTGTGCTGATATCCCAGGCCCAATCCAGCCCTCCTCTCTCACTTGTTTCCTAATGTTTTCTATGCCTCCAGCCCAGATTGCTCCCCGAACTGTATACTCAGGTATCCAAGCACCTACTGGACATCATTACTTGGTTGTCCCATAGATATTGCAAATGCAATAGGTTCCAAGCTCAACTCATAGTTTTCCTACCACTGAAAAGGAACAGAAAACAAAAATAAAAACAAGGCATATAAAATTCCTCGTTTTTCTATTTTTGGTCAACGACATCCATTCGAAGAAGCCTAAGAAACATCTCTGATACCCTTCTCTCTCCTGGCCTCAATCGCGTCAATCACTGTATCTTGCTGATTCTGTCCTCTGAAGAGTTCTCATACCTGTGTGTTTCTGTCACCCTACCACCATGATCCTTATTCTGCCATCCTTATCCATCACCTGGAGGAGGTTTGTTGTAAAATAAAACTCTAATCTGTCTCCCTGCTTCTAATCTTGACCACTCCAACCTGTCCTCCAGCTGCAGCCACAAGATCTAAGATACACTTCTAAGACACTCCCACCTAAAGCTCTTCAATGGTTCTGCATAATCTCCGAGATAAATTTCACATGCCCTACAGGACCGAGGAGCCTCCACGTTGTCTCCTGCTTCTTGTCCTTCTAGCCTCATCTCTTACGCCTCCCTGCACCTCACTTCGTGCTCCAGCCAACTGACCTCCTTACACTTCCAGCCCAGACCATCCCATTTCCTGTCCCCAGACTCCGCTGGGGATGCCCTTCTCTAGCTGAAGATTTTTCATAGGCTCCTCTTTGGCTAAATTCCTTCTGGACGTATGAAAAAATATATATACAAATTACACCAAATTATGAACACTTTCATAAGGAAATTGAGAAGAATTGTACATCATACACTCCATGGCCAAACATCATTAAATTCCACTTAAAGATCTCTAACACACTGAACACAACCAGTGCTTACTATCTAAGGCCCCCAGTGTTCCTCCTTTTTTTTTTTTTTTTTTTGCGGTACACGGGCCTCTCACTGTTGTGGCCTCTCCTGTTGCGGAGCACAGGCTCTGGACGCGCAGGCTTAGGGGCCATGGCTCACGGGCCCAGCCGCTCCGCGACATGTGGGATCCTCCTGGACCACGGCACGAGCCCGTGTCCCCTGCATCGGCAGGCGGACTCTCAACCACTGCGCCACCAGGGAAGCCCAGTGGTCCTGCTTTGATGGTCTCTTCGTGGCTCCTTTCTGCCACCTGCAGCCTCTCCAGCCATGCTCACTTCAGCTTTCTCTCCTCTTACATTTGTACTCATTCACCCTAGCTCCCTTTTTCAAAATGGAGACCATATCGGTATGGTTCTCATTTAGACTTTCCAAGGAGCGTCCTTCAGCTTAGCACTCCGTCAGCAGATGCAGTATTGTTCTAGGAACCGGCCTTCATTGGAAAGCAGAGTGTCTGAAATATGTGAATTTTAACTAATATGTGAATTTTAAAGGACATATAGATTTTTGAATAACATTTTTTTCTGGTTACAAAAGTAATTTCTGCTCATTGAGGAAATATTAGAAATAACAAAGGAATATAAAGAGAGCCATAACAACTATCACACAGCTAACTGCAAAGATGTAACATACTTTTTTCTCTCTCTTTCTCCCTGGTTTGGCTAGGACCCCCACCGGAAACCAGAAAGAATCTCTCCTAGGACCTTTTGCAAGGCTGAAATCAAGCCTATGTTGCAAAAAACAATTCTGAAGAAAGTTGACTTTTTCTTTTCTTTTAATGGAAACAAGCTGCTGTAACCTGGAAACCCATAGGTATTCACTGTCTTTAAAAAAAAAGATTGATTGAGTTAATATTTGAATAAGTAGTTCATTCACATGATTCAGAATTCTAGGATTATAAAGACTTAGTGTGGTTTTTAAATATGTCTGCAAATTCTTTGCCACTTCTCCCATCAAAAGATAGAGTCAAATTCCTCTCCCCTTGAATATAAACTGGGCTT